CACACACACACACACACACACACACACACACACACACACACACACACTGGAATATTATGCAGCCATCAAAAGGAATGAAATCTTGCCATTTGCAACTACGTGGATGGAACTGGAGGGTATTATGCTGAGCAAAATAAGTCATTCAGAGAAAGACCTGTATCATATGATCTCAGTGGTATGAGGAATTCTTAATCTCAGGAAACAAACTGAGGGTTTCTGGAGTGGTGGTGGGTGGGAGGGATGGGGTGGCTGGGTGATAGACATTGGGGAGAGTATGTGCTATGGTGAGCACTGTGAATTGTGTAAGACTGTTGAATCACAGACCTGTACCTCTGAAACAAATAATATAGTATATTTAAAAAGAAGAAGAAGAAGATAGCAGGAAGGGAAAAATGAAGTGGGGGGGAATCAGAGGGGGAGATGAACCATGAGAGACTATGGACTCTGAGAAACAAACTGAGGGTTCTAGAGGAGGGGGACGTGGGGGGTAGGTTAGCCCAGTGATGGGTATTAAGGAGGGCATGTATTGCACGGAGCACTGGGTGTTACATGCAAACAATGAATCATGGAACACTACATCAAAAACTAATGATGTAGTGTATGATGATGAACATAACATAATAAAAAAAAATGCTTTGACAGAGGGAAAAGAAAAAAAAGATCAACACTGCCTATACACGGATTGAAGAAGAGTTAATATTCCAAATAGAGATTTGAAGAACTTAATGTCTTTATGATGCTAACTGACATGTCAGGCAAAGGTAAATCCCTTTATATGAAGACACTTGTAGTGTAACAACAGGGGGATGATAAAAGCCCTGATCAAATTATTTGAGATAATGACAGCACTTGTAGAAAAACTATTAAATAAAATACCATTCTTCATAATATAATTCCAACTTCCTGGGTTTATTTATTTTTTTAATCCTTTCAAATCTCTATGATTTTATTATTTTTACAAATGATATACTAGTTTACATAGTTATAACTATTTAAGATAATTTTAATATAAAAATTGGTAAATTATAAAGAATTATGAATAATCAGAGGGAAGAATTTATTTTTACTTAAAAAGAGCATAAGATATTTACTTGCAAATTAACGAATGAGAGAGGAGGATTTGAAACCTCTTCTTCCTCCTCATTTTGTTCCCTCAAATAGTATTGATCATTGTTTCTTAGATAGATTCTATTACTGTAGTTCATGCCCCTATTGATGAGGAGCCCATTCCAACCCCTACACTTTCTAGGAGCAGAAACATGGGGGGTTTGATGGGAGTGTGGGAGGCCGGTGTGTGTGTCTGGGTATAAAATCAGTTACAAATTAAAGAGATCTCTGAATCAATGAAATGAATAAATATAGCCCTGTTGGGCCAGTAGGGGCAGTTGTGGAACAAATAGATTATTTTCCCCATAAAATTTTCACATCAGGTTGGAACTGTATTTTCTGTAAAATTTTATGTTTTTAGAGATTGAAAACTGAGTGTCTTTTCGCATTGTCATTAATAATTACACTTACTGATTATCACCATTTAATTTTTGTTTTTGGCATCTCTGGCACCTCACACTGTAGCTGACACAAAGTAGACATTTAGTATTTTAAAAACTGAACTAGATCACCCATATCATTATGGTTGCTGAGATGTATGGATTCTTTCAAATCTGGCCCCTCCTCTCTGTCTTGAAGCTTTTGCTCCTGTTAAAGCCTTCATCATCTCTCCCTTCCTCAAAACAGTCACCCCTGACCTCCTTCCTCTCTCTAGACACTGCTTTATCCTTTTTTTCCATCTCAGAAAAGCTTTTAAAATGAGCAATCTACTTCCACTTTATCTGTTTCTTTTTAAAAAAACTTCATTCTTTCACATTTATTTTTAATTGCATGAGATATATATATTCTCCCCTCCTCAGAGGTAACTATTATTTTCAGTTTGTTGATTATTCATGCAGACCTTTTCTACACACTTATATACATTAATAAGAAGAGAGGGAAATTTTACTGGGAAGGGGCAGATGTACACAAATGGTGTCATGATCCATGGATTATTCTTGCAATTTCATTTTGTTGCTTAACAACATGTCCATGTGATCTACCTCATTCTTTTAAACTGCCAACTACAATTCCATGGTACATTTGTACCATAGCTCATTTTTTTGCTATCTAGATAGAAATTTAGACTGTTTAAAAAAATTTTTTATTCCATTACCAATGCTGCAGTGAACATCTTTTCTGTATTTTTTTCCTGAACACGTACAATTGTTTCTCTAGGCTATATACCTAAAAGTGGAACTGATGGATCATAAGGTATTCACATTTAAAATTTTAATGGATAGTCCAAATTTGCCTTGTAAAAATATTTATCAATGTACACTCCCACCAACATGAATGAACTCACCTGGTGTTAGTAAATATTGTACCATCTTCTATTTTTTTCAGTCTGATGAATAAAAAACATTTCCTTGTTTCATTTTACATTTCCCTAGTCACTTGGTAAAGTTGCTCGATGTTTGGAAGGAAGGTACTAGTTTATCTTTGTTTTCTTAATTTCCTCCCCCTTCAACAAAATTTCCTGCCACAGTCAAAATTTTACTAATTGTTTCTCTCACTCATTGTTTCAGCCAGCCAAGCCAGGGACTTACTGTCAAAGATGCTAGTGATTGACCCAGCAAAAAGGATATCCGTGGATGACGCCTTACAGCATCCTTACATCAATGTGTGGTATGACCCTGCTGAAGTGGAGGCGGTAAGGCATAGGCTTATTTACTTCCCTTCCACAGACAAATCAGAGTAACTGGGTGCTCAGTGGTGAAAACTGCAAGACAATTAGAACCCAAAAGCACACACAAAGGACTTCATACAATTCCTACGTCACAAAGTTATTACCTTCCCCTCTAAGAGTTGTTTTCTTCCACCTATATTTTATATGCTTTTCTTTTTCAGGGCTTTCCATGAGAGATGATGATTTAGTCCAAAAAGCTTTAGCTGTCCATGAAACACATCCATGTGTGTTTGTTAAATTGTTAACATCTCTAGTATCTCCTTTTTTCATGTTTCATTCCCAGTGTCTCCTGATGCAAACTAAGTAGCAGAAATCATAATAGAGAATAAGTTGCTTTGCGTCTCTTTCCTTGATAAGATGCCTGTCATTAGTCAAGTGTGGGCACTACAAACATTTCGCAGATAGAGTTTTTACCAGGCCCTCGGTGACTTTGGGAAACCTTACACGGGTTAGATGAGAAAAATTAGGTAGTCCAATGCAGAGTATTTCCGGTTTATTCTAAATTCACTGCCATAGTAAGATGAGCCTCCATATTGTAAATCTAGGCAGAGTTTAGGAATCTTCCCAGAAACCTCACTTTTTTTCCTTCTCTTTCCAACCATTCAATATCTTCTCTCCAATCTCTTTCTTACGTCTTTGCCTTTCTCCTTTTCTGTGTAGAGCCAAGGCGAGGGGTGATTGTTGTTGCCCATGTGTGTTCTACAGGGCTCCTGATGGGAATGTCCTTTTGTCCTTCTTTTAAATGTTACCATCAGCAATGTTATCTTCTCCCCAAAGCATCAAAATTTCCTCAAATTCTTAGCATGCCTCTGCTAAATGATTTTTTTTTTACATAAATAACTTCAAATTACTTTGGTTGAATTGGTTTTTAACATTCTATTTGAAATACTCTCTCCACTTGTTTTCTCGTATCTTTCTCTGTACCCCAAAGGATTCTTGTTTGAGCATAGTTTCGCTTTGTTTCGGTTTCCTTTTGTTTCATTGTGTGCCTGCCCATGTCAAGATGCAAAATTCAAACTGACATAATTCTTATCCTTTCTTCCTTCACTGGAGAAGTAAGAGCTGACAGATGGGAGTGAGGATTAGGGAGAACTTTGTAAATATAATATTCAAAAAACTACTTTCCACAGTAGCCCAGTCCTTACACATTCAAAAATTTTGGAGAAAACGCTTCAGTGATAAATGAGTCTCTCAAGTGTGGAAACTGGGGTGTAGTAGCCCTTGGTGACATTTTATTAAGATCTGCTCTCTTAAGCAGTTTTACAATGATGTTGAAATTTCACTTTGCTTATAATTTTTAGTCACTTGATTCGATTCTTACAAAATAAAATCCTAATATTTTTATGGGTAAAAGATAGGATCATCTTTAGTCTCTCACTCTTGGGAAATCATTTCAAAGATGTTCTTGGGGTGGAATGAGGTAGTGAAATGTAAGAGAAAGTATGATGTATATGTATGTGAAAGGTAAGTATAAACATTTTTTGGGGATGATTTTCAAGAAAATAGGTTATGTTGATAAAAATTTTAGACAAACAAATTATTTGAAATTGTTGCTTCTCATTTATTTTGATCATTCAAATCATGTGGTGTATTTATTTTTTCTTACATCTAATGTAATGTGTGTAATTTGTTTTTAATGGATGGTGGCCCAGAGTTTAATTGGAGTCATAAAGTCTGCATTTGTAATTCACTTGTGATTATGTTGCCTATAAAAGAGACAGTTGTTTAGAATCTATAACAACATACTAATGAATAGCATCAGTGAGTTTTTAAATATAACATTTTATGAAAAATTTCTTTGAAGGATAAGAAGATAAGATTTAGGTGCTAAAATGGCTAGAATCTTTTTCTCCCTCATTTCAATATTGTCATCCTGGGGAATGAATAGTAACAACATAAGATGTGAATTGTAGGGGAAGGATTTGATAGAGCCCGAAGGTTTAGGAAAAGGGATCCGTTAATGCACAGAAGAACAAGCAGTTATTTAACATTTAGACCGGGATCATTGGTTATACAAGGGTAAACGTGTTTTGCATCTAGACATGTTGTAGTGAATAGGTCGGAATCCTGACTCCAGGGCAAGGATAATTCATTACTCTATAAGATGTATTATACAAGTCACAACTAGGAAGAGACAGATCCTAAAGATGGTAGAAGCAGTGGTCAACTATGCCTTCTGCAATACCCTTAGAAATAGTGCCTTTGTTATTGCATGTGAACACACATTTAAAGTAAAATGACCTTTCTTTATGAATGCATGGCAAAGCTATAATTTCAAAGATCTGTTTTCTGCCAAGACTGCCAAGACTATTTTGCAAAATGAACTCTGGCGTGTTCTATAATCTAAACAAATGGAAGTATCAAATAATCAGAATTTCCATGATTAGAAGTCATCCAGGATATCCAGGCTCAAGCAGCCTTCAAGTAACTCACAAGATGTTATAGAGGGAAGGAAATTCAAAGATGAGAGGAAAGAAAAATATGTTTCATCGAAAGAAAATAGAGGCAAGTGGAGAAGGGTAAAGGAGAAACTGCAAGAGAATGTGATGTCTTCAGGAAAAGTCAGAAGGAGAGGAGAGAAATGCTATGTGTACTAATCTATTCATCATACTACAAGCTGTCTTATCACCTGTTTCCCAGAGTGACAAAGTACTAAAATGAAAAGAGAAGAGCTTATGAATGCTGTCATAACTCTAAAAGGGAAAATTATTCATGCAATCATGAAGTTGAGAAATTTAAAAATTGAATGTCAAGGTTAATGATGATCTGTGTAATAGCGCATAAAGGATTTTAGAGTTACAACTGCTCAAATTATTAGCTACTTCTTATTCAAATAATGTTCAGAGTAACAAAAGAATGGGCCCCACAGTGCAAAGGCCACATTTAGTGTCAATGCTTTTTCATGAAATAGTTGGAAGGCATTCTAACTCTGGTTCAGTATTCATCAAGAGGGCAAAAACATTATATACAAATGCAATTTATTCAGTTGAATGCATCTTCACAGGTATGAAAAATGGGGTAGGTTTAAGTTTCTGCTCCTCCACTTACTAGGTGGCCTTGGTCAAGGTTTTTAACCTTTCTGCAACTCAGTTTTCTTAACTAAGAATAGGGAACATGCATACTTATGCATAGTGTACCTCTGAGAATATAAAGAGTTAATGTACATGAAGTGCTCAGTATAGTACTTCAGCCAGTAAGGATCATATAAGTTCTTCTTCTTCTTCTTTTTCTTCTTCTTCTTCTTCTTCTTCTTCTTCTTCTTCTTCTTCTTCTT